GATAGTCCGATCAAGAGAACAGGGAGGGAGATCGATCAGTTCAAAACACAGCAGCCATTGACTTGTTTGTTAGAGCATTGTCGTGATGAAACAAAACACCATTCGTTAGTTTTCCTAGGCGTTTCGTCTTGATAGACTTTCGTAAGCGTCTTAGCAAGCTAGCATAGTACTCTCTCTGTTAATGATGTGGCTCTTTTGTATTCCCTTAATTGTTTATTTCCCGATAAACTGGTATCTGACTGTGTAAAGAAGACTTGAAAGTAACTAGTAGCGATTTCTCTTGAAAATAGACAACATTTGGCATCTTAGTGTTACCAAGTACTGACAGAAAAAAGGGTTTAACTCAGAAGTATATTCATGGTTGCTGCGGTAGGGGATGATACTCCAGCACTATCACCAGTGAGCAGATTAATTTAGGAGTGGGAGTCTTGACCATAGACCAAAGTCTGGACGCCCTATAACAGCTCCTCACCGAGGATAACATTTATCGTCATCACTGTAAAGTGAAGGATGACAGGTGATTGACTATGAGTCAAATATTAAATCCTGTTAGCATATTCCGTGAGAGAGTTGACAATATTCATGATGAAGTTTTCTGCTCAGTGAGTGCCAGATCTTATGGCACCTGATCAATACATTTTGATTGAACATTCAGATGTCGGTTTACCGGAAAAGATTCAATGCAGTGTTGAAATGTATGTATGCAAGGTTTCACAGTTCTAGCATCTCTCCGTCATATTCAGCCTATGAACTTTTCAGCTCACCCTCGCACCTGGAAAGAAACAATACAGTTATTAATAAGAAAATTTGAAATTAATGCATGTAAGGTTTCACGCCTCTAGCATCGCTCCTTCATAGTCAGTCTATTAAATCTTCAGCCCATCCTTGTAATAAACATTTACCTTAAGGTCAAAATAATCCTTACATAATTCTATATATGTGTACATAAATATCGGGTGTAATAGAAAGTTATCCAAATCGTGTAAAGGCATAATTTTCCATCCCACAAAATGCTTATTATCTAAAAGCCACAAAAATAATTGAGTTTCTTTTTGTCCATGTTTTTAGATGAAACATTTGTACATCTTGACACCATTGGTCGTAAGAATCACAGAAAAACCCTTTGTGCTATTCAGCTAGAGAAAGAGAACAGAATAAAATCGTGTTGTGTCAGGCCCACTGTCTTCCCAAATGAGCAATAGTGAGAGGAAAAATGATCATTCAGGCTTTCAGTAATGGTACCGACATTCATACTCTGGCTTCCATCTTTAAAATTCCTTCAAGAACCTTGACAAGAACGGCGAATAAGTTTAAAAAAGAGGGAACAGTAGAGAGGAAAACTGGATCAGGAAGTCATAACAGGATGAAAACCATCATTTCAACTTAGAGCTAAAGAGATAAATTAGAAAAGATCTAACTCAATCCATGTGAGGGAAGAGTTTCAGCCATGACAGTCCAAAGAATAGTGAAAAAAACTTGAAAATGATGTACGTGAAACCTTTGAAGCAACTGCTTACTCCAGGACAGAAAGTTAGAGGGTTAGAGAGGGCGAAGAACATCTTGAATAAGTTAGAAAATGATGCTGAAATAATATTATATATATATATATATATATATATATATATATATATATATTATAAAATGGACAAAGTCCGACAATTATTTAAAGACAATTTTATATTTAACATTCTTTTATAGATACAAATATTTAAGTAAATGTTGTTTAATACTGTTTATTATAAACAGAGCATTTACTTAAATATTTGTATCTATAAAAAGAATATTAAATATAAAATGTCTTCATATATATATATATATATATATATATATATATATATATATATATATATATGAACTTATTTTCAATCCTTCATGACCTTCTGATCCTTAGCTATGATTAATTAATGATGAAAATGGCATTTTGGTTTAAGATCGATTTCATCACGATTCCCCTGTCAAGCTTAGAGAGTAATTATACATTCTTATTGCTGAAAGTAGAGTCCAATAATGTTACAAAAACCTCCGAAAATTAGAGTAAGACATTTTAATCATTTCTATGAGAAAAACGGTGAATCTTACAAATGGACAATTTTGCTTTTACACGGTTTGGACAAATGTTGCTGTATATGTAGATATACGTATGTTGTTACATACATATATACGCCGACAAAAGCAATAAAGCCACCGAGATGCAAGGCTTTACTGAGTGAAGAAGAATATCAGATAAAGAAAAACATTATTAAGGAGAGAAAAAAAAAAAAAAAAAAAAAAATGATGACTTAAAAAGAGGACGATTGACATTGCGTTTAAATTTTTAAAAATCAAAATTAAAACGATACTAAAAGAGCGGCTATAAGCAAGGAACTTGAAAAAAGAAAATGGTGAGACCTTTCCGCCAATCTAGTACTGCGATTAAAAAGCAATACTAAATCTGAATACCAAAGTGGAAAATTCTACATAACCATTACAATGATAATATTCACAGATAAGGCAAAGATAACATACGTTAAAACAACAGGACTATAGAAGATGCCAGATCAATGACCAATAACATTTCAGATTCTTTCTTGTATTTTAGCAAGAATATTTAAATACATAGGAGAATCACTAGATCAAATGTGACAGCAATAGTAAATAGGCGGATGGTCAACTTATAAACGTGTTAGATATATGAATATATAAATTAATACTGAAATAGTAAACATACAAACAAAACAATAAAAATCAATCGATAGGAAAAAATGGCTGGGAAAGTCAGTTAGATTAAATAGACACACTATAAAAGCAATTTTCATTGGCTTAAAACCATCAAGAAACTAGACCAATAAATGCCTCAGCCCAAGTTCCACGGACTCATTTCAGAGGCCAGGAAGTTAACTGACAGATTAACGCTGCTGGTTCGGTCACCTGGGAGAGACTGGCCTGATGTTTTTAGACACACGTAAAGCCCAATGGTAACATGAAAAAATATCATTGATGAAGTTTCCAAACGTACCAGAAAGTTGTCTGGAACACACGCATACAATCGAATAAAATGCCGAATAATAAAAGTAAAATTGATAGTAGAAATGAAGAATAAAAGATGACAGTATTGTAAAGCCATGCGCAGAATCTAGTATTAAAAGAAAGTACTACAGTGTAACCCGGATATAAGAGACCCTGATATAAGAGAGATTTTCTCTGGTCCCAAATTAGAGCCTGTGTTAATCTAAACAAAATAGACCAAACCCGGATATAAGAGAAACCCGAATATAAGAGACTTCTTCTCCGGTCCCGACAACCCTCTTATATCCGGGTTACACTGTATAAAAATGTAGCATAATTTTCGTTCCGAAACAAAGCAAGATAACAATATTCTAAAATTCTTTAGGTGTCTTTAAAGGAATCTCGCAATTCGCCGTTTTCATGAGATCATCCGAACTGTTTTCGATACTATTTATTATGCTTCTTGGATCAAAGTGTAGAATCTGCCTTGGGGCGGATCAACTATATTTTATGTATCTTTTCTATTAATTCACCCCAAAATAAAACGAATTTATATTTACTAAAATTTCTATCAAATATCCTAGAGTGAGGCCCTTCCATTGCACTCCGATTGGGTTGACCATTACGAACCGTACAAATATGGCCCATTCAAAGCTCAATGTCTATGTGTGGGCTATACGTTCTCGCTCACCCCTATAAACAAGCCCAAAGCAGATTTCTCTCTTTTTTTTTTTTTTTTAAATTGTAAAACATTCCTTGTAAATACCTGGAATATCATCCACACTTACGAAATATGAATAACTCCCAGATTTTTGGTAATTTTCCATTCTAAAGGTTGGAGTTGTTGCGAGGCAAGCTAAATCCGTTTTGATTTAAAATTTATAATTTCAAAAGAGTGCAAAAATTTAATAAAAAACCTCTCATTTAGAATTCATAATTTCTTGCGATGAATTAATATTTGCGATAAGTAACTTTAAATTATTTAGGGCGAAGTAACAGAAAAGAACTCATTTTATCCGCAATCTGCATCCGGGCAAAGAGCAACTGAAAATATGATTGACAGATGACCGGTTCCAGGGAATAGTATCCCATGGCAGTTTCCCTTATTGCACTAAAGACTAAAGGTGGGGTTGGAATAATACTGATGCCAGCAAAACTGACGCGGTTATGAGAGCTGGGCTATTTTTGGATCTGTCCTGGGTGAAAGTTCTCTACATTTCCGCATTAAACTGATCTTGTGCAACATCCTGCTATCGTGGGTCGGCAAATAAATACTAAGTGTAGTGTCTGTTGATCTCCTGAACTGAAATCTATGAGCCTCTCAAACCGAGAAAATAAGATAATAATTTTAAGGGGGAAGGAATTTTAGAAAAGTTGGAGAGAATGAAAGAGGTGAAAGGGTATCAAGGAGAGAGATAGGAAGTAAAAAATAAATCTATCTATCTATCTATCTATCTATCTATCTATCTATCTATCTATCTATCTGTCGCAGGCTATTCATTATCTATCTATCTATCTATCTATCTATCTATCTATCTATCTATCTATCTATCTATCTGTCGCAGGCTATTCATTATCTATCATTCTATCTATCTATCTATCTATCTATCATATCAATCAATCGCAGGCTATTCATTATCTATCTATCAATCGCAGGCTATTCATTATCTATCTATCTATCGCAGGCTATTCATTATCTATCTATCTATCTATCTATCTATCTATCTATCTATCTATCTATCTATCTATCTATCTATCTCATGCTATTCATTATCTATCTATCTATCTATCTATGTATCTCAGACTATTCATTATCTATCTATTTATCTCAGTCTGTCATATATATTTCTCTATCAATCTATCGCAATCTCTTTATATCTTCTTTTTTTTTTTTTTTTTTTGTAGTAATTTTAGCCCCTGTACAAGGACCGGGGGGACAACTCGGAAATCGACTCCGGCAGAACAATCGAAAGTTTCCGATAAAAACGAACATGAGAAGAACAGACGGAAAACAAGTCAACCATACAAAACAGAAAGAAACACTAGGTAATATGGGGTCTGAAAGAATATTATATACTCTTGCGGTCTCCCCTGGGAACCTATTGTTTTATATCTAAATACGGTTAATAAATAAATAAGTAAACTAGTGGACAATAGACTAGTCGATTGAAGCGTTACTTTGAGATTTGGTGTCACAGTAATTGTGAGTTCAAACCCAATGTAGGGTAGAGTGTACTTGGTCTCTCTTTGAAGCATTGCGAGCAACACCAGAGCATTACTAAGAAAAATAAGAACTAGACGACATATCTCGAAACATACACCCTTGTCCAAATTAATTGTACAGGAAAATGAGGAGGACCATGATCTCGTACACCCTTGTACAAATTAATTGAAAGAAAACGAATAATTCCGTTATTATAATTTGTTATTTTCCAATAAAACATGACTCAGTACTTCGTATGCCCATGTCACGAAGTCGTTCCTTGCAGATTGACCACAGATTCTCGATTGGATTTAAATCAAGAGAAATTCCGCGCCAGTCTATAGTACTTTTTTGCCATCTATGTTAAGCAGCTTACGCTTCATTGGATCTATCTATCTATCTCTATCTATCTATCTATCTATCTATCTATCTATGTGTGTCAACCTATATACTGTTCTGTTTCGTCACTCTATAGCACAATGCGTTCATTGCGTGCCAAGGGAGATAATCGTCTTTTGTATCTCTTTTTACATAATCAGAAATATGGTGTGCATGCGGTATACCAACTGACTCAGTGATATACACCCGTGTGCAAATTAATTGTACAGGAAGATGTAGGGGCCCATGATCATCTAAACCCTTGTGAAATTAATTGTACATGAAGATGTGAAGGTCTACGACCATCTACACCCTTGTGAAATTAATTGTACAGGAAGATGTGGAGGTTCATGAACACGTGCACCCTTGTGCAAATTAATTGAAAAAAAAACGAATAATTCCGTTATTATTTACATATTTTTCGTATTTTTCCGATGAAACATGACCCAGTACACATGTTAGTACTTTGTATGTCTATTCCACGAAGTCTTTCCTTGCAGATTGACTACAGATTCTCGACTGGAGAGTTTCCGCGCCAGTGTATAGTACTTTGATTTGCTCACTGGTAAGACTTGACACTGTGTTCGTGCAGTATTACAGTTTTCGTATTCTTCCTTGGTGTAACGTCCATCGCAGACAATGGCTGTAGGACAACTAATCGAAAGTCGAAACAATAGTGTCTGGGTGTGATGCATACACGGACGACGCAGTATTTTCAAGGCCAAACAAATCTCATCATACACCCCGAAAATAGATTCATATTACTGCACATCACTGCAAATGACCTAATCTGAGGGGGAAAATAGTAGGTCTAAAATTGACCGAATGGTGAAAGAAAGGAAACTAAAGTTGTTGTTTCAGTTAATTTGCACAAGGGTGTAGGCAGTGGAAGAAGAATATCCGGTCCACCGTAGAATACCTTAAAGAGTGCTTTTCGGAATTTCTTTGGAGGTTACTCGAATCGGCAGAAGGCCGAAACGTTGTTTCGAAGATGAGAGCATTAAACCTGAAACATATAGTGTAACGATTGTTTCTTATTTGGACATTTCTGCTAACATCCGTTTTTCTATTAATTTGTATTTTAGTTAAAACAGGCGTTTATATTTTTTTCAAATTCTTACAACGGAATTTTAAACTTTGCGCAATAGTTATCGTAAAATATGCATGCCTGTTTTTAGATTTTTATGTTTCTTTTGCTTTTTCTCACAAACTGCTTGCGTAAGGAATTAAGACTTTATCGTTCATTGTTCTTCCTTTTAAATTTTAATATCCCCAAAAGTTTTTAAAAGAAGTCTGACGAATGCAAAATGCTGACGTCAGTTCCAAAAACATAAATGCATTCAGTTAACGTTCGAATTTTCTTGTTAATACCAAGTATTTGGAATTCACGCGACACTTGCCAAATATTTGGGCCATCGAAATAACACACATTTATATAAGATTACGTTGAGCATGAAAATCCAACTTGTGCTATCGATAAATAATAATATGTATATTTAGTAATATATACTTAACAGCTCTTGTATTACATCGAGCACAGTTTTATTAATATTGGCATTACATATATGTGATATATATATATATATATATATATAACACTGGCATTACATATATGTGATATATATATATATATATATATATATATATATATATATTATAGTAATTCTTAAGTCTAGAAGAACCCACAGCAGAAAGTACTGGACGGCCGTTTCGTCTACTTTTAGGGACTCATCAGCAGTGCGCATCCACTACCAAGAATTGAAACCCGAACCGTTTCGTTACAACGCAAACGTCATTTTATTTGTTAATAAAACAGTGTTATTAACACCAGCACTTTATATATATATATATATATATATATATATATATATATATATATATATAATTATTTATTTAAAATACGATTCCAAAACGCCACATAAGAAGTCTCATGTTTCAAAACAAGAGCCGAAAACTTCAATATAATTATTTAAATTAAATTGAGTTAAAGTGAGCTCTGTTCCATCTTCAAGCGAAATTTTTATTGGAATTACGTATTTCTGAAATTTACGTGTTTTAAAAATTGAAATAAAAATTTCCATGGTAACAGCTAGGGCGAATTGTTTAAATTGGGTAGACGAGTGTTGGGTGTTAATAATAAGTATCAGTATAGAGTTACTTTCGTAGATGTCAAGTCAGGGAAAGGTGGGGTTGTCTAAATTTGTAGAAGTTGCCGGTTTTGGCTGTCGATGACTACAACAACTTAATTAAAAAAACTTAACCAGGACTTATAAAAAAGCTTGCAACAACAACATTAATATGGTCGATAGCATAAACAGAAGTAGTAAAAAAGTAACTGATAAATTAAAAATCAGCGATAGAGTAGGTAAACTTGCTGAAAAGGAATGTTACATAACTTTTAAGGACCATAAGCCTGACTTTTTAGAAAACCCAGCAACCAGAATAATTAACCCTACCCGACCCGACATAGGAAAGATCAGCAAAAGAATCCTGGAAAAAATTACCTGCCAAATAAAAAAACAACTGGAATTAAAATTATGGATCAATACTAAAGATGTCATCAATTGGTTTAACTATATTGATGATAAACGGAATTGCACCCTAATACAGTTCGATATCGTGGATTACTACCCATCAATTTCGAAGGATCTATTTACGACTGCCCTGGACTTTTAAACATGTGTATTCTAACCTGACAAAGGAAGAAACAGATATAATCCTCAGCGCAAAGAAATCGGTCATCATTCATAATGGGGACCAATGGATAAAAAAACAATAACGACCTGATTGACATCACTATGGGATCATTAGACTCTGCAGAGTCTTCTGACCTTGTTGGTCTTCTTATACTGTACAACTTAACGGCACACCGCGAAATTGATATTAAGGACATCGGACTGTATAGAGATGACGGGCTCATGGTGGTGAGGAGTTCTACTAGTTTTAAGATTGAAAAAATCAGAAAAATTATATTTAGTGAATTTAAATAACTAAACTTAAAGATAATTGTCTCTTCTAATTTAAAAATGGTTAACTTCCTCGACGTAACTCTAGACTTACCAGGCAACACATACCAACCTTAAACCTAATACTAACCCTTTATATATACACCCGAAGTCAAACCACCCTCCATCCATAATTAAACATATACCCCCATCAATAGAAAATAGAATTAGCATTAACTTCGCTAACAAGGAAATATTCCAACAACACAATGGCTTCTATAACACTGCCCTAAAAAATAGTGGTTATAAAAATACTAACATTAACTATAGAGACAATTGCACTGGCAATGGGAAAAAAAAAACAGGAAAAGAAAAATCATTTGGTAGACCCCTCCGTTCAACCAAATGGTTAGTATTAAACTAGGACAGAAATTCTTAGCTCTAATTGATAAACACTTCCCCACCAATAGTAAGCTTAGTAATATATTCAATAAGAACACCCTAAATTTGAGTTACAGCTGCTCTGAAAATCTTGAACCTATAATAAAAAAAACACAATAAGAAGATCTTGAACAAACCCCCATGCCTAAACAGTATTAATAAAAACCCTGCACTTAAATCAGACAATAAAAGGGAAAAATTATTTAACTGTAGAAACCTAGAAGACTGCCTATTAGAAAATAAATGCTGCATTAAATCTGTGGTATACCAATGTACTATATCATCCACTGAGAGCCCTAGCACTAATAAGATATACATTGGGTCCACGAATAATGATTTTAAAGATAAATGGAGGCAGCATAAGTGCTCTTTCAATAATATAAACAAAAGAAATCAGACTTCCCTATCTAAATATTTTTGGCATCCGAAGGAAACAAATAGGACACCTAAAGTTAAATGGAAAATTATAAACAAGGCTAGAACATGTAAAACTTGGGATGACCCATGCCCTTTATGCCTCCATGAGAAATTGCACATAATTAAACTTCTAAATAATAATAATCTATTAAACAATAGACACGAGTTAACAGTTTTTTGTAGACATCGTCAGATTTTTGGTTTGAATTATTAGCTAAAAACAAGCATACAATATAATAACTTGTTTAATCCATAGCCCAATCATCAGATTCATGGTTTGAATAATTAACTAAAAACATGCATACAATTTAACACCCTTCATAATCCATAGCCCAAATAAATAGTTTAAATAATCTAAAAAAAGATAACCCTTTATGAAGACGTCAAAAAACAAACGTTACGACAGTTTTTTTATATGCACAAATCCCTTTCATAAAAAAATAAAATAAAAAAAATAAATAAATCTCCATAGACATGCAAACTAGACGAGGGTTAATACATCTTCCGTTTCAAATTTAGACACCCCCACCTTACCCTGACTTGACATCTATGAAAGTAACTCTATACTGATACTTATTATTAACACCCAACACTCGTCTACCCAATTTAAACAATTCGCCCTAGCTGTTACCATGGAAATTTTTATTTCAATTTTTAAAACACGTAAATTTCAGAAATACGTAATTCCAATAAAAATTTCGCTTGAAGATGGAACAGAGCTTATTTTAACTCAATTTAATTTAAATAATTATATTGAAGTTTTCGGCTCTTGTTTTGAAACATGAGACTTCTTATGTGGCGTTTTGGAATCATATTTTTAAATAAATAATTATATTTATGCTCTACTTTTGTATCGAGCACTATTTTTAAAAAATAATAACTAAAATACTAAGGAAATTTGAATTATTTACCAAACCAGTTCCTTCCTATTTTCTATATATTTTCACACACACACACACACACACACACACACACATATATATATATATATATATATATATATATATAATAAATTAAGTGATTTAACATCAGTTAATTTATAATAATTATGGTCTATAAATTTACATTGAGCACTGTTCTGTAAAAATAAAAATATCATGTATGTGTGTGTGTGTGTGTGTGTATAAATATATATATGCAATTTTTTATATATATTATTTATATGCCACTTCTATTCCAACGGTGCTTATTGGAAAACGCTCAATATCAGTGATAGAGCTAACAAAGTTTGTCTGACGATCGTAAATAGCGTGAAACCCAGGGTCACAAACTCATATAAATACAACTATATATATATATATAAATATAGAAGTCAACACTTAGAGGCGACAGTCTGTTTCATGCTATATGCAATCGTGGCCTTATGATTGCATATAGCATGAAACAGACTGTCGCCTCTAAGTGTTGACTTCTATGTTCACTTTTTATTTACACACGCTCTATCTCTGATATTGAGCACTTTATCCCATAAATATAGCACACCTTAAGACTATATTTCTTTATATATATATATATATATATATTAAAAAGAAGAGGGGTGCCGCAAACGTTTTTGGTTGTAATGTGGATTTATTGAGAAAAAATATACTTTGTTTTACATAATTTCACGACACGTGTTTCTGGTCTGGCCTCTTCTTTTTAATATACATACTTTTCTCTCGTTGGAACCACTACAACATATTTCTTTTATATATATATATATATATATATATATATATATTAATGAGTATAGACGATCCTTAAAATTAATATATTTGTCTGTTATTTACATTGAACTCTCTTTGGATTACTGTCCTCCTTGTAAGTATCCCAACTATTGTCCTAATATCAATTGATATTTCATATATATATATATATATATATATATATATATATATATAGGAGGACTGGTATCACGTAACAGTTTGCTACTCTTTTCTAAGTTTCTAATGACACTCTCAGCTTAGCGTTTTGAATGCATTTTGATAGCGTCTCGGATTGAGGAATCGGAGAGCCAAGTTCGAATTCCAGTCGAATCCATTACATTCACATGTGCTAATACCCTTGGGAAAGGTATGAATCCTCATCTTCTCCCTCCCCCACCAGCTATGTATAAACAGCAGGGGAGACCGGGTTCTATAGCCTTGGATAGCAACTGGTCTACCGCAGAAAGAAATGCTAACCTACTGCGGAAAAAAATCTGCCTCGTCAGTCATGTATCGAAAGATACATGATCGCCTACGCATGTATCACGCATGGCGCATAACTGACTTTCCGGCTGCATGAATACAGAAGATTAAGTACCCTGGATCCCTGACTGTATGAATTTAAGCGTGCTCCTAGATTGATATCTAGGTCCCACAGAGTCAGATGGTTCTCCAGACTTCTTAAAAACAGGAACTACAGAGGAGAACTTCCAACAAGATGGAAAGAACGATAGTTGTAGAGTTTGGGGAGAACTAGAGCCAACTCGGGAGGATATTTCTTTAGGACGACGGCTGGAATCCCGTCACATCCATTTCACTTAGAGAAGTTTAATTTAGATATGATGCCCACGACCAGTGACGGGGTTATACCCATATCACACAACAGATCTTCAGTTCTGCGAGGAAATCAGGTGTGGATACTCCAAATGAGTCGAGTGTTGGAAGAGAATTTCCGAGCAAAGCACTCAACCTTATCTGCTGTAAATGTCAGGATTTCGAAGTTATGAAATAGCGGAGACATTGACATTTTGCTGTTGTTCAGCACCCTCTTACATAGCCGCAAATAATCTCAAAGAACCGAACTGACGAGATACTATACGTTGGTTAATTCTATAAGTAAACTATAACTTCGCTTCATTGAGGACACGCTTGCTCTCATTACGAGCAGAGACAAAGAGACGTCTGTTGTAATCTGACGTGTCGCTCTGGTACAGCCGGAAGAAGTGATTCATGTGGGCTATGGCGACTGAGTATGCAGGTGAGAACAAAGGAGATGAACGCAGTTTAATTTTGTATTTTCTTGCAGGAACGAAAGTATTGATGGCGTCTTTAAGACAGGAGAAGACCTGAAACACGCGTTTTTGAACAAGATGATAAGAAAAACTCATTCCAATAGACATCACGAATAAAATCACGGAACGAGTCCCAATCTGCTCGTTGATAACAGAAAGATATTCTGTTGGTAGGAGGTTCTTAGTTGGTGGAGGAGCGGAAAGAGATGTTTATAGACACTACTACATGATCAGAGTTGCCAAGAGGGCAGAGCGGCGTAGTCCGACATGAGTCAGGGATAGAGGCAAAAAAGAGTTCGAGAAGAGAATCGTGTCCGTCAGAGTTACTGAAGAAATGCGTGAGTAATTCAAACACTTGCGTGAGAGATTGAGAAGTTAAGGGTTTGGATCAGAGACATCGTGTTTATTCCACCTAGTATGGTGGCCATACCAAACGGAAATATATAAAGTCACCAAACACAAATATATTTGCAAACGAGCGTAGGTATAAGGTCTTGTTTATATTATCAGAAATATTATCTAGCCCGCAACAGAGAGGAAGGGGACCCGGTGGAGAAAGAAAAGATAGCTGATTGAGTTAAGTAAAGAGAGACGGAGATACATGTAAGAATGATCTGTCAATTCAAAAAAGAGTTCCGTAGACAGCGGAAGATGTTCGCGGACATAAACCCCCAGGCCACGCATGTGGATATTAGAGTCCTTTCTAAGGTGAGAGGAAAGTAGCCAGGAATCGAGAAATCAGAGGAGTGGATTGAAGAGTTAAGTTTAGTTTCGGAGAGAGCTAGGTTATTGGGAGGTAAGAGAAACGATTCCAGATTGTAGAAGTTGGTACGAATAACGCGAATGTTGGAGAAAGAAAGGTTAAAGGTTTAGGTGCTTTTTGTTGAACTGGTTTAGATTTATATCTTTGGTTGTTTATTGTCATGATGTTATTTTGGTAAGGAAAGGTCTAGGGTAGTAGCAGTGGTCGGTCGTCTAATGTAACATATGCAGGAAAGGAACCAGCGCAGACTGCAACAGAGTGCAGCCTCGGGGTTGCCCAACTGAGGTGTTTGCAAGGACACGATATGGTACTGCAAGAACCCCGATATTATGCAAACGTTGTCCAGAGCAGCCTCTCAAGGCGCTACGCAAGAGTTCGGGCTCCTAACAGTCGAGAACAACATCAAAGTTCTAGTAATTTTCGTAACACAATAAGCTTCGTGCATTAAATAAATAGAACGGAAGATGGTAGTTATAATTCAAGAATTTTAAATGAAAATAGATTATACATCAGGAATAGGATAATAACGTGCGAATTCCAACAAATAAAAGATGAAAATACCCTTGGGGTAACTGGTGTCTAATACATTGTATAGTCGACAAAATTCAATAGTACCTCTCCCCCATCCCTTCTTTTCCACTCTCTTTCTCTCTCTCTCTCTCTCTCTGTGTAGCATTTCATATCTAAACAGACAGTATAACGAAATATTGGTTAAATATAGATATATATATCTTATATCTAATATAATTTATTATGTATATAGTAATTATATAGTAAGATAAAGAAAAAAGAGTAAATGTTTATCAATCTAATAGATTTCAATTTTGTTAAAGCTTTTGCTCAGCGAATTAGATATGGAGAAAAGGAAATATTTTTATTCGTGTCGTGATTGATTTTCATTGGGTAATCAGGTTTCACAAGAATTCAACTTGTTAAACTAGTGTTAGTATAATTTATTGTATTCCGAACACAAAGAGATAAAACGAATCCCTTTGAGAAATATAAAATTATACTAATTATATTAATTAATAGATTAATTATAAGTAATTATATTTGAATATTTAAAGCGAGAAAATAACCAAAAACATAAGTGATGTTTTTTTAATTTTTAAAAAAAATAATTTTAACCCCAAGCAAGGCGATAAATCCACTAAGACGCAAGGGACTTACTGGGAGTGAATGAGAATAAGAAGACGTTAATATGGAGAAAGGAGAATAAAAGAGATGGAATCAAGAAGACAGAAAATGGCGATTGGCGTTGCATTTACACTTTTGAAGAATGTAGGCGGAAGTGAAGCAAGAAACCGGAAGTGATTCCCAGAGGCGAGAAGTGCTAGAAAAAACCTATTAGAATAGAACATACGGTTGCATCCAATTAGTTCAACAATAAAAGGATGAGACCTAATTGCCAATCTAGTAGAACGTTTAAAACCATACAGTTGAGGCATAAAGGACAAGAACTTATCAGAGCAATTGTCATGAAAATATTTATATAGAAGACAAAGGAAAACACGTCACTGCAGTAGAACGTAACTGAAACCGTGATGTCAGATTCGAATCGATTATATTACAGACAATTCTTTGGATTTATTCAAGGATATAGAGATAAGTACCAGGAGAGCCAGACCAGAGGTGACAGCAATATTGAACGCACCGACGAATGGTAAATATATAAAAGTACAAGACAAGTGAAATTGTCTGGCACAAAGGAGTGAACCAGATTTCCTATCAGTAGATCTAGCAATGGATTCAATTTAATAAGTTCATTTGATGTCAGTGGATAGAGTGATCTCAAGAAGGCGTAAAGAGTTGCTCTCCAGGAGGCTAGCATTAGCCATGTTGATAGAATTTAGAAAACGTTCTCAATGGTGAATAGATGGTAGCCTTTGTT